AGGGTAACGCTTATGGCAATCTTGGCAATGCTTATCACCGTCTGGGTGATTTCAAAAAAGCCATAGAGTACCACAACCTAGATCTTAAAATAGCTAAAGAAGTAGGAGACAAGCATGGGGAGGGTGGTGCTTATGGCAATCTTGGCAATGCTTATGGCCGTCTGGGTGATTTCAAAAAAGCCATAGAGTACCACAACCTACATCTTAAAATAGCTAAAGAAGTAGGAGACAAGCATGGGGAGGGTGTTGCTTATGGCAATCTTGGCAATGCTTATTTTAGTCTGGGTGATTTCAAAAAAGCCATAGAGTACCACAACCTACATCTTAAAATAGCTAAAGAAGTAGGAGACAAGCATGGGGAGGGTGGTGCTTATGGCAATCTTGGCAATGCTTATGACCGTCTGGGTGATTTCAAAAAAGCCATAGAGTACCACAACCTACATCTTAAAATAGCTAAAGAAGTAGGAGACAAGCATGGGGAGGGTAACGCTTATGGCAATCTTGGCAATGCTTATGAAATTTCAAAAAAGCCATAGAGTACCACAACCTACATCTTAAAATAGCTAAAGAAGTAGGAGACAAGCATGGGGAGGGTAACGCTTATGGCAATCTTGGCAATGCTTATCACCGTCTGGGTGATTTCAAAAAAGCCATAGAGTACCACAACCTACATCTTAAAATAGCTAAAGAAGTAGGAGACAAGCATGGGGAGGGTAACGCTTATGGCAATCTTGGCAATGCTTATGACAGTCTGGGTGATTTCAAAAAAGCCATAGAGTACCACAACCTAGATCTTAAAATAGCTAAAGAAGTAGGAGACAAGCATGGGGAGGGTGGTGCTTATGGCAATCTTGGCAATGCTTATCACCGTCTGGGTGATTTCAAAAAAGCCATAGAGTACCACAACCTAGATCTTAAAATAGCTAAAGAAGTAGGAGACAAGCATGGGGAGGGTGGTGCTTATGGCAATCTTGGCAATGCTTATCACCGTCTGGGTGATTTCAAAAAAGCCATAGAGTACCACAACCTACATCTTAAAATAGCTAAAGAAGTAGGAGACAAGCATGGGGAGGGTAACGCTTATGGCAATCTTGGCAATGCTTATCACCGTCTGGGTGATTTCAAAAAAGCCATAGAGTACCACAACCTACATCTTAAAATAGCTAAAGAAGTAGGAGACAAGCATGGGGAGGGTGGTGCTTATGGCAATCTTGGCAATGCTTATCACCGTCTGGGTGATTTCAAAAAAGCCATAGAGTACCACAACCTACATCTTAAAATAGCTAAAGAAGTAGGAGACAAGCATGGGGAGGGTGGTGCTTATGGCAATCTTGGCAATGCTTATCACCGTCTGGGTGATTTCAAAAAAGCCATAGAGTACCACAACCTACATCTTAAAATAGCTAAAGAAGTAGGAGACAAGCATGGGGAGGGTGGTGCTTATGGCAATCTTGGCAATGCTTATCGCCATCTGGGTGATTTCAAAAAAGCCATAGAGTACCACAACCTAGATCTTAAAATAGCTAAAGAAGTAGGAGACAAGCATGGGGAGGGTGGTGCTTATGGCAATCTTGGCAATGCTTATCTTAGTCTGGGTGATTTCAAAAAAGCCATAGAGTACCACAACCTACATCTTAAAATAGCTAAAGAAGTAGGAGACAAGCATGGGGAGGGTGGTGCTTATGGCAAATGCTTATCACCGTCTGGGTGATTTCAAAAAAGCCATAGAGTACCACAACCTAGATCTTAAAATAGCTAAAGAAGTAGGAGACAAATCCTTGGAGGCAATGGCCTACTGTTCATTAGGATGCGTTTTTGAGTTGCAAGGTGGACTGCCAAAAGCCGTTGAACATTACCAAGCTAGCATAAACTTATTCAATTCCTTGAGAGTACTTCTAAAATCTAAAGATGAGTGGAAAGTTAATTTTCGAAATCAGCATCAAATGGCGTATACGGGTTTGTGGAGAGTTCTCGTAGAACAAGGTAATGTAGATGAAGCCTTATTTGTTGCTGAGAAAGGACGAGCTCAAGCTCTGACCGACCTCATGGAATCCAGTTTTTGTGGTGGAACAAGTCACCACAAGGGAGAAGATGAAGATTGCGCAGTTTTAAAAAACGTTCCATCAAACACTGTCTTTCAGGCAGTGGACAAAGCTAACGTCAATCTTTGGGTTGTGTCCGAAGGAAAACAAGTTCAGTTAAGACAAAGTAAACTCAAAGGTTTTGTTTCAGAGAATAGTGGATCTAGCCAGTCCTTTGAGTCGTTCATGCTCGGTGTCTATACACAACTTGGTGTTCGTTCTAATGTGAGATGCGAGAATCGATCTTTAGATGCTTTGAGGGAGGGCCGTTCAAAAGTGGATGAGAAAACCAAAGAAGCCAACCCTCAACCTCACATCCAACAAGACGGATGCTTGAGCACTTTGTATGATATCGTTATGAAGCCGGTGGCTGACTTGATTGAAGGGGATGAGCTACTCATTATTCCTGATGGACCCCTGTGGATCGCTCCTTACGCTGCATTGAAGGATGGTAATTCTAAATACCTGTGTGAATCGTTCACAATCCGAGTCGCTCCATCGTTAGCAAGTCTTAGACTCATTGCCGATTGCCCAGATGATTATCACAAAAGCAGTGGTGCGTTACTTGTAGGAGATCCGTGGGTATCCGAGGTTACTAACAGCGAGGGAGAGAAAGTCCTCGAGCAGCTTCCGTGTGCTAAAGAAGAAGTAGAAATGATCGGAAAAATTCTGAATATCACGCCAATCACTGGCAGACAGGCCACGAAACGTGAGGTGTTGAAAAGACTCAGTTCCGTTTCCTTAGTTCACTTTGCGGCACACGGATGTCCGGAAACTGGCGAAATTGCTCTTACACCTGACCTAGACCGAATATCTACTGTGCCTACGGAGAAGGAGGATTACATTTTAACGATTCGAGATGTGTTGAATGTTCAACTTCGCGCCAAACTTGTTGTGCTCAGTTGCTGCCACAGTGGTCGGGGCGAGATCAAGGCTGAAGGTGTGGTTGGCATTGCGCGCGCTTTTATGGGGGCTGGTGCTCGGTCTGTTGTGGTGTCCCTGTGGGCGATTGATGACGAGGCTACTCTCCAGTTCATGAAATGCTTTTATCAACACCTTGCAGAAGGTAAACCTACAAGCAAGTCACTGAACCTGGCCATGAAAAGCCTCAGAGAATCAGATGAGTTCCACGACATCAAATACTGGGCGCCCTTTTTGCTGATTGGAGATGACCTCACGTTTGACCTGATGGCAAAGGAAAGAGAAAATTTGAATAGAAAATCAAATAAATGAGAAAATCTTTTTTTTCATCTCAAAAGAATGAAGTAGGAACTTGGAAGGTTTAAATGTTTCTCTATTTTAAACAATTTTTGGCTATTTTTCTTTACTTTTTATTTTTTTGTTAAATGGAACTTGAGATGTGCAACTTTACTGTGGTGAAGAAATAAACCAGTCTATTTCGTTATATTTTGATTAGTGGAATTGTCATTTTTTGTTACCTTAACAAATTTACATGCTTGCGAAGAGAACGAAATGCAACAAGGCCTCTGTTATGAACGAGGTTTCCATTTCCACCAACATGTCACTCAGCTCTGTTCCTGTATTACAATCAGTTGTATGGAAAATAATTTAAAGTTTATTTCTTTTACAAACCAGGGGCTTTTCCACCGGATTTTAATTACCTTTATGCTCTAAGCTTTTGATAAGCAAAGAAACAATTCGTCATTTGCAAAAGTTGGCGAATTTTTATTTCCAAAACTTTGATTGAATATGTGAATTGAATATGTGAATTGATCTTAGACCGTTTTCTACATCATAAATTACTTTGTTACAATTTACCTTCATCTTTACAAAAAAATTTGATGACCATTTTCAACTCAATCCATTTTAATGCAATCTAGTTCTGTCAGTGCCAAGATTGCCATTCTAAGCTTAATTTGAAGAAGTAAACATCAGAGATGATGTTATTTCTAATCATATGTTGGGGACATTACACCTACTTTTAGGGGTGTAGCCAGCCTTTAGTCCCGTAGGCCGGCCTACAATTGTTTTCTGCCGCTTGACTTTTACTAAAAGATAATATGACTCTTGCAAATGTTGAAACAAAAATTGAAATTTGTGAGGGAAGAGGCTTACATTTAGTCAAAAAGCTGGCTACAAAGAACGACGACAGAGAGGCTAAAAATTGTCCATGTAATCTAAACTAGGAAAGAGGGACGCAGCGTTCATTATAATTAAAGTTTCCATAGGTGTGACTTTTATTGTATGTGACATGGAAGTTGTTGTTTCTAGTACGACAATATTTACGCTCATAAATGAGAGAAGCAGTTAGCGTAAGCCATGTAGTCCTCAATGGGAATTATTTTGGTGAAAAGGCTCATTAATTAATGTAAACCAAGTTGAAGATAATTGTTCATTTACCTTAGTTTATATTAAATTACTCACGAACTCCCAAGTTCTGAAGAAAAATTCTCCCAACCGACAAGAATGTGTTTCTCTTTGCTGCCGCTTGTTCCGAGAATTCGATGTAACATTATGTTTCTAGTATAAGATTATCCTCCAGTTTGGATTTTCTCGAATTGTTAGTGACTCCATGTTTGTCGGTGTATTAATACCGTGAGGAGAATTAAAATTATGATTAGTCTTGGGAGTAAATGGGTTCATTTTAGCGTCTCCGTTTAGCACGTATTTTATTTAATGCCTTGAACGATTTAATGCAGTTTCTATTGTGCTTATTTTTTACTTCTTTGTGTAAGAGAAATATACAGTGTATAAAATACAAAAACTGCGTTGATTTACATTGTCTGTCTCCATATTCTTAGGATGCACGTAAGATGTAAAGAAAGCAGATCCTATGAGGACTTCAATACTTGTTTTGACCCGCGCACCAAGTTGATAATGTGTGCAGCTAACAGTGTACTAACATTCCATGTTTCAAGCCCCCGCCCACTTAAGAAAAGCGTGTCATCTCTTCGATTGTATCTCTTTCACTGTCTATTGTTCTCCGTATTGCCACACTGTTTTGAACGCCGACGGACGTGTTCATACTGTTACATGTGTGCGCCTTTTTTTATCTTTTTCCTCACACAAGTTTTTACACCTTTTCACATTTGCGCATCCCTTTATTTTTCTCCTTCCTCTGGTTCCTTCCATTTTTTTTCATCGCAATTTTCCTTTATTCCCATCTTTACGCGCACCTCTTTTATCGCCCTCAACTTTGTTCTTCTGCGCGCTTCATAGGACGCGACTATCTCCTTGTCTGTTTCAGTTTTCACTTGTCTAAATCTTCGCGAAACGTCAGGCTTCTTACAACTCATATACCTCGTTACTCCCCCATAGTAGTTGTTATCATGCGTATTATGTCCACTTTGGGATGGTGTCCTCTTAAAGTCATCTCTAGTGAAATCTCAGTTTTCCTTTCGATTGATTCCTAGTCCACAGGGTGCCAGTGCTTGCTCTCCTCAGTCCTCTCATCATAATAGCAGTTATAAAGCGGAAGAGCTCCCTCCAAGTCTCGGCGACATAATCGGTGCATTTAGTCGGAAACGAGTCCCTCAATGTCCAAATTAAGGCCTCTTCTATCATCTGATTGGGAATGGGTCAAACTCTCGCCCAGGGTCCACCTACAATGCGAATCCAAGATGGCGGCAGGCCAATCCACAGCCGGACTCTACTGAGTCGGTAGCCGCCATCTCGGATGTAGACGCAGAGAAGACCCTGGGGAAGAGTTTTGACAAAACAATAATTAAGAAAGGATAAGTTACAATAGTGCTTAAAGAGATAGTCGATAACAACTTGAGAGATTCATTATGAGCAAACACGTTCCGTCGATTATTAAACTCCATGTCTCCTCGAATACGCACTCCTATATGCCCCTCTTCCCCGTCCCTATACATCCCTGTACTGCAAGTTTTATCATCATACAGCACAATACAACATTATACCCCTGAGTAGCACTGTAAATCCGTAAAATGCATTAACTAGACAACACTTCACAACAATATGTACCCCTAGATAGCACTATGCTTCCCTCTACTGAATTTTAAATCACCATACAGCGCTATAAAAACAATAGCACCAATTTGGCGCCGAAATAAGTGCGAATATTTGTCCGCGGTCATTTTCTCGAATTTTTTGTTCCAAGATGCGGAAACTGTGAACTTCGAGGAACAGATAATATCCAAGGACAAATATCCGTTCATATTTTCGCGCAAATAGACGCTATTGCGTTTTTTTCCGAGAATATTCTGTAACCCTCGTGAAAAATGTTAATGAACAGCTTACTGAATTGAACACTCGATGAAAACCTCTGCGTCGTTTAAAGAAAACACAGCATTTTCCAGCGCAGTCATGACTCGTCTGACGTGAAGATACAGAGATCGAGAGTTGATTACGGCTTCAAGTTTCAAACTCGTAAAGGCGGGAAATATGTCTTGAATTCTTGGGTTGAACTCAAAAAGTCTGAAACAAAATCATTCATGATCATCGTTATCAATTCTGAATAGTTGAAATTCGATTCACGTTTACTTTGGATAATAAATTTTACTCCCATTTTGCCAGTTATACAAAGAAATCAAGACACTGAGCAATACCCACAACAAGACACAGCTACAGTGTTGTGAATCTCCATCCTCATCTTCAATAGAACTATGCTCTCACGAAGGTAGTGCGCGTGCGTTTGCATTTTAAAGTCACTTTAGCACAAAATAATAGAGACCTTACGCAACAGGACGGCAGAAGGGAGAGGACAGCAAAATTGATCGTGTGACGCGCGTGACAACCTGATTCGTGAGCCATTTGACGCAACTTCCGGTTTGAGACTGCCGTCCTCTTGACGTTCACGACGTGAAAACAAGGCGACTGAGGTTGTGAGGAGAACGTGAGTATTTTTATCCCCTTATTTTAATCTAAACTGTCTTTTTCTTCGGTTATAGCATAGAAACATATTATTTCTTTAATTATGAGCCTCTGTGTCTGGTGATAGGTCTTTTTACAAACGGCAAATGAAGCGAACTTGTTACGCAAAATGGTGTGTTTACATGTCGCTGTTTTCGCCTAATGAGCAATAATTTGTTATTTTTTGGGCACAAGTAGAAATGAATTAGTAAGGATTGTAAGCATTTAAGGTTTTCTCTGTTGGCAGTTTAGTAAAGTGACAACTTCTTGACTAACTCTCATCGTAATTACGGATAAAAACTAAGAGCCGGAGCCGTCTTTATGCGATAAAAATTCACGGCCCTTGTTGCAGTGAAAGTAACTTACAAAATTTATAATAAAGATAGATATAGATTAAATTTTAAATCGTATACCTTATTGCATGAAATGTTAGCGACATGTTAATTTAGCGATTTTGAAAATTTCCCATTTAGCGACACTTTAATTTAGCGATTTTTCGTAAAATTTTGGAACATAAGTCACTTAGTTTTAGCGATTTCACGAACTGAAACTTTTGCGAATTCAAAATATTTAAGCTTATTTGATGCGAAAATGTATTTGATAAAATTATAAATGTCATAACTTGATTTAAATATATATAAAAAAAATCATTCAACTTTTGCAGATGGCAACATTTTATCCCATAGACATACAGATGGCAAAATTTCACAGTGTACTCACTTTAATTTAGCGACACTTTCGAGGCGGCATTAATTCAAATTTCATGTAATAAAGGTAGATAAAATTTTAGATGGTATTAGTGCCGTTTCAAGGTATGATATAACTGTGTATATGATTGTAAAAGAAGTCCGGAAATAGGACAGCATACTCAGTGTTCGCCCATTTTCTTTATGTCTAAGTTTGTTTCTTTACTGTTGTGCAGTAATTTACAACTTGATTAATTATGAAAACTACTCTGTTCCGCTGTCGTGTCTGCATCCTTCCACAGGTCCAAAAAGGTTTACGATCAGACCATTTGGTGCAACTACACTTTGAAACTTTATCGCATGCACTCTCTTGTGGCCATTGTACAATATTCTTTGGTTTTCGCCAGGCCTAGCAACTGGTCGTACAGTTCCGTCTATAAATCCCCAACAGTTGTCAAGGGCGGCTCCTTTATTGTAGATAGCTTCTGCAAAATCAACTAGATTTGCTTGTGATAGCCATGGCTGATTAATACCAGAAAACAACTGTCCGAAGCGGGCATAAAGAATATCCATCATCTCAGACACCACCATACATAATTGCGGTACAGGCCTTCCAAATCGGGGAACAAGGTCTTCGTACCTGCATGGAAAGGCAAAACGACGCAGAAGCAAACATAGCGCTTCATCACTGTAAACATAAAAACGATTTGGGCAGGTAATTTTGTCAGGAAGATCCAGAACGTCGAGCAGATTGTAGATATCATGTTTTAAGAAACGGAATTCGCTTTTGCATTCGTCGTCGGAAAGAGAGTCCAGATTGAATTTTTCGTACTTCCAGTAAGGAATGTCAAGATTCTTTGAAGTGTTAACGTCGTAGA